CTACCACCATTTTAAACAAAAACACTCCCACTATACCCCCACTATAACACAACACTACCACTATTTCCACCCTAAAACAACACTACGCTAAAAACAACAACCACCACTATAACACAACACTACCACTAAACACAATAAACCTACCACTACTACCACCACTATAACACAACACTACCACTACTACCACCACTATAACACAACACTACCACTACTACCACCACTATAACACAACACTACCGCTATAACACAACACTACCACTACTACCACCACTATAACACAAACACTCCCAACTATAACACAACACTACCACTACTACCACCACTATAACACAACACTACCACTACTACCACCACTATAACACAACACTACCACTACTACCACCACTATAACACACCACCACTACCTTACACCACACACAGGATGAATACAAATGATTCATTTTTACAGTCTGATATTTCAAAAGCTCGCCAATTTTTTTCTTTCTCGTTGTTAATTTGACAGTAAAGTTTTTGATGCAGTGGAACACCTGGTAACGTGAGGGGTGCACCACCCAGTAGCTTGAAGGTTCACCTCCCGGTAACGTGCGGGACTGTGCACCACCCAGTAGCTTGAAGGTTCACCTCCCGGTAACGTGCGGGACTGTGCACCTCCCAGTAGCTAGAAAACCCAGCAGTCTCTGTGTAAACACTAATGAAGGTGTTTCGGTGTAAGCATTATTTAATCTCTCTTATATAAATATTACTATATGGTCTGTCTCTCAATATATACACTATTTACAGTCTGTCTGTCTGTCTGTCTCTCTCTCTCTCTCTCTCTCTCTCTCTCTCTCTCTCTCTCTCTCTCTCTCTCTCTCTTTCACACACACACACACTATTAGTCTCCCTTCCTCAATATGAACATTATTACATGGACTCCTAAGGTAAACACTATTAAATGATTTCTCAATATAAGTACTATTAAATGGTTTCTCTCAACGTAAACACCATTAAATGGTCTCTCATACTGCAAACACAATAAACGTGACGGTAGGAAGGGGAGCCAGCAGAGAGGGTAACACCACCTTGGAGAAACGTCTGCTGTGGCAGATGTATCAGGTAACACTCATCCCACACTTGGTCAACATCTCTCGCACTACAGGTATCTCTCTCATCCCACACTTGGTCAACATCTCTCGCACTACAGGTATCTCTCTCAAGGCCTCAATCATGCTCACAATCCACTGTGGTTTACACACATGACTGCTGAATAACACACAAACACACACATATACACACAAACACATATAAATACATACGCAACATACACGCACAACGTTACATATATATATAGATATATATATATATATATAATATATATATATATATATATATCATATATATATTATATATATATATATATTTCCCTAAATTCATTCACATTAGACAAAATTCATGAATATAAACATTAAACCACAGCCTTAAATTAACTAAACCACAGTCTTGAATAACTACGAAATGATAATTAAACCAAATTAAACACAGATGAAATAAATACCAAGAACGAAGAAAAAATTATGGAAAAATAAACAATTTAACGAAAAACTTAAATGAAATATAAATATAACAATATGAAAAATAAATGCAATAATAAAAAAAAAATCAATGAACATTTTTATGGAACAAAAATGAGTTTGTCTAAATATAAATAAAATGTATAAATTAAATGGAAAACGTAAATATGAAATTATATAAAGTATAAATAATGCATAAATGAATGTGAAAAATATTATATATGAAATCAAGTGAAATAATGTTAAGAAGTACTAGTGAAGAAGTGCTAGTGAAGTGCTAGTGAAGTGCTAGTGAAGTACCAGTGCTAGTGAAGTACCAGTGAAGAAGTGCTAGTGAAGTGCTAGTGAAGTACAGTGAAGAAGTGCTAGTGAAGTTAGTGAAGTGTAGTGAATAGTGCTAGTGAAGTGTGAGTGATAGTGAAGTCTGCTAGTGAAAGTGTAGGAAGTACCAGTGAAGAAGAGTGCTAGTGAAGTGCTAGTGAAGTGCTAGTGAAGTGCTAGTGAAGAAGTGCTAGTGAAGTGCTAGTGAAGTACCAGTGAAGAAGTGCTAGTGAAGTGCTAGTGAAGTGCTAGTGAAGTGCTAGTGAAGTGCTAGTGAAGAAGTGCTAGTGAAGTGCTAGTGAAGAAGTGCTAGTGAAGGTGCTAGTGAATGAGTCTAGTGAAGAAGCGCTAGTGAAGTGCTAGTTGAAGTACCAGTGAAGAAGTGCTAGTGAAGTGCTAGTGAAGTACCAGTGAAGAAGTGCTAGTGAAGTGCTAGTGAAGTACCAGTGAAGTACCAGTGAAGAAGTGCTAGTGAAGTGCTAGTGAAGTACCTGTGAAGAAGTGCTAGTGAAGTGCTAGTGAAGTACCAGTGAAGAAGTGCTAGTGAAGTGCTAGTGAAGTACCAGTGAAGAAGTGCTAGTGAAGAAGTGCTAGTGAAGTGCTAGTGAAGTACCAGTGAAGAAGTGCTAGTGAAGAAGTGCTAGTGAAGTGCTAGTGAAGAAGTGCTAGTGAAGTACCAGTGAAGAAGTGCTAGTGAAGTGCTAGTGAAGTACCAGTGAAGAAGTGCTAGTGAAGTGCTAGTGAAGTGCTAGTGAAGTGCTAGTGAAGAAGTGCTAGTGAAGTGCTAGTGAAGTACCAGTGAAGTACCAGTGAAGAAGTGCTAGTGAAGTGCTAGTGAAGAAGTGCTAGTGAAGTGCTAGTGAAGTGCTAGTGAAGAAGCGCTAGTGAAGTGCTAGTGAAGTACCAGTGAAGAAGTGCTAGTGAAGTGCTAGTGAAGTACCAGTGAAGAAGTGCTAGTGAAGTGCTAGTGAAGTACCAGTGAAGTACCAGTGAAGAAGTGCTAGTGAAGTGCTAGTGAAGTACCAGTGAAGAAGTGCTAGTGAAGTGCTAGTGAAGTGCTAGTGAAGTACCAGTGAAGAAGTGCTAGTGAAGTGCTAGTGAAGTACCAGTGAAGAAGTGCTAGTGAAGAAGTGCTAGTGAAGTGCTAGTGAAGTACCAGTGAAGAAGTGCTAGTGAAGAAGTGCTAGTGAAGTACCAGTGAAGAAGTGCTAGTGAAGAAGTGCTAGTGAAGTACCAGTGAAGAAGTGCTAGTGAAGTGCTAGTGAAGTACTAGTGAAGAAGTGCTAGTGAAGAGGTGCTAGTGAAGTACCAGTGAAGTGCTAGTGAAGTACTAGTGAAGTACTAGTGAAGAAGTGCTAGTGAAGAGGTGCTAGTGAAGTACCAGTGAAGTGCTAGTGAAGTACTAGTGAAGTACTAGTGAAGAAATGCTAGTGAAGAAGTGCTAGTGAAGTACCAGTGAAGAAGTGCTAGTGAAGAAGTGCTAGTGAAGTACTAGTGAAGAAGTGCTAGTGAAGTACCAGTGAAGTGCTAGTGAAGAAGTGCTAGTGAAGTACTAGTGAAGAAGTGCTAGTGAAGTGCTTGAAGTATAGTGAAGAAGTGCTGTGAAGAAGTGGCTAGTGAAGTACCAGTGAAGAAGTGCTAGTGAAGTGCTAGTGAAGTACTAGTGAAGAAGTGCTAGTGAAGAAGTGCTAGTGAAGTACTAGTGAAGAAGTGCTAGTGAAGAAGTGCTAGTGAAGTACTAGTGAAGAAGTGCTAGTGAAGAAGTGCTAGTGAAGTACTAGTGAAGAAGTGCTAGTGAAGTACCAGTGAAGAAGTGCTAGTAAAGAAGTGCTAGTGAAGAGGTGCTAGTGAAGTACCAGTGAAGTGCTAGTGAAGAAGTGCTAGTGAAGTACTAGTGAGAAGTGCTAGTGAAGAGGTGCTAGTGAAGTACCAGTGAAGTGCTAGTGAAGAAGTGCTAGTGAAGTACTAGTGAAGAAGTGCTAGTGAAGAGGTGCTAGTGAAGTACCAGTGAAGTGCTAGTGAAGAAGTGCTAGTGAGGTACTAGTGAAGAAGTGCTAGTAAAGTACTAGTGAAGAAGTGCTAGTGAAGTACCAGTGAAGAAGTGCTAGTGAAGTACCAGTGAAGAAGTGTTAGTGAAGTACCAGTGAAGAAGTGCTAGTGAAGAGGTGCTAGTGAAGTACCAGTGAAGTGCTAGTGAAGAAGTGCTAGTGAAGTACCAGTGAAGAAGTGCTAGTTAAGAGGTGCTAGTGAAGTACCAGTGAAGTGCTAGTGAAGAAGTGCTAGTGAAGTACCAGTGAAGAAGTGCTAGTGAAGAAGTGCTAGTGAAGTACTAGTGAAGTACCAGTGAAGAAGTGCTAGTAAAGAAGTACTAGTGAAGTGCTAGTGAAGAAGTACTAGTAAAGTGCTAGTGAAGTACCAGTGAAGAAGTGCTAGTGAAGTGCTAGTGAAGAAGTGCTAGTGAAGTACCAGTGAAGAAGTGCTAGTGAGTACCAGTGAAGAAGTACAAGGGAAGTACCAGTGAAGAAGTGCTAGTGAAGTTCTAGTGAAGAAGTGCTAGTGAAGTACCAGTGAAGAAGTACTAGTAAAGTGCTAGTGAAGAAGTGCTAGTGAAGTACCAGTGAAGAAGTACTAGGGAAGTACCAGTGAAGAAGTGCTAGTGAAGTACCAGTGAAGAAGTACTAGGGAAGTACCAGTGAAGAAGTGCTAGTGAAGTACCAGTGAAGAAGTACAAGGGAAGTACCAGTGAAGTATCAGTGAAGTAGTGAGAAGTGCTAGTGAAGTACAGTGAAGAAAGTCTAGGGAAAGTACCAGTGAAGAAAGTGCTAGTGAAGTACCAGTGAAGAAAGTGACTAGGGAAGTACCAGTGAAGAAGTGCTAGTGAAGTACCAGTGAAGAAGTACTAGGGAAGTACCAGTGAAGAAGTGCTAGTGAAGTACCAGTGAAGAAGTGCTAGTGAAGTACCAGTGAAGAAGTGCTAGGGAAGTACCAGTGAAGAAGTGCTAGTGAAGTACTAGTGAAGAAGTGCTAGTGAAGTACCAGTGAAGAAGTGCTAGGGAAGTACCAGTGAAGAAGTACTTGCGAAGTACTAGTGACGAAGTACCAGTGACGAAGTACTAGTAAGTAACTTACCATCTACATAATGAAGTGTGAGTGGGTAGCGGCAGTAGTGACGTCATATACGGTCAGTAGCAACTCTCTCCTCCCCTCCACTCCTCCTCTCTCATTCACTGTACAATGGGTCTAACAATACGTTAGGAAACCAACACTGTCTCTCCTCTCTCTCTCTCTCTCTCTCTCTCTCCTCTCTCTCTCACACACCACACACACACACACACACACAACTGGAGAGATATAGAACTCAATCTGGTGTTACACAGTATCATGTGGTTAAGTGCTCTCGAGAGACGCCTGGTTTAAGCGTGAGATAATCCCACCGTGTATGGTTACCATCTTATTACTCCAGTATTGGAGAAGCAGGGCCCAGGAGCCGGAGCTAACTTTCAACATATATTCCTCATGAAAGATAATTAAAAATTACAGTACCCTGGCTGGACCAGTTCACAACTACGCCACATTTTGTATAGAATACATTAAACGACGTTTCGGTCTTTCCTGGATCATTACGAAGTCACAACTAACCATATAATGATTCTGGATAAATCGAAAAGTCGTCTAAGGTTTCCTCTCTAAAATGTGAGTCACTTGTAAATTTCCTTGTTAAAAGTTGTTTCAGAATTAAAAAACTCTGCGGATATTTCACCCAAAGTTTACTATATCTCCAAACACCAGGTTACACAATATGGCAATAGTACAGTGAATAAAAATCCTTCAGTGCAATGATAGCCAGATGACTCTGTCTGTCTTCTATATATATATATATATATATATATAATATATTTATATATATATATATATATATTTATAATATATATATATATATATATATATATACTATATATATATTATATATATATATATATACGCAAAACAACCACTCTGAAAGAATAGAGAAATTCCAAGCGCTTTCGTGACTACTCAAATAGTTCCTTGATAATGTGAGTAGTCACGAAAGTGCTTGGAATTTCTCTATTCTTTCAGAGTGGTTGTTTTGCATATTTTGAAATCACCTGTTTACTGTGATCTTATTGCATATTATATATATATATATATATATATATATATATATATATATATAAAATATATATATATATATATATATATTATATTATATATTTATATATATATACACACACACACACACACATACGTACAGAAAACTATCAAAGACTCGCCAGTACTCAGGAGGTAATAGGAAGCTTAAGGGGGGGGGGAGGTGTGACTTAGGCGATGAGAAGCACCTAGGTAGAGGCAAGATGAGGGAGTCTAAGGTAAAAGGCAGATGTGGGTGAAGAGCTAGACAAAGACCGTGACTGCTACGAGGCTCTCAGTAAAGAAGATACTGCAAGGTGAACATCACGGTGCGCAGAGAGAGAGAGAGGGAGAGAGAGAGAGAGAGAGAGAGAGAGAGAGAGAGAGAGAGAGAGAGAGAGAGAGAGAGAGAGAGAGACTGTAAGAAGTGTCTACTGTATTTGCAACTAGAGAGGAGAAAGACGAGAGAATGAATGGAGTTGAAGCAATATTCCCCGAGGCGACAGAGATCCACAAAGGAAGATGAATAGCGGTGGACCAGCAGCAGCAGCAGCAGTTACCATGGCAGCACCCACTTGCCCTACTATCACCTCCCCCGCCTTCCACCCCACCATCCCCACTGTCACATTAGCAGGAAGAACAGGAGGAACAGCACCCAACATCACCCACACTGCTGTCACCACACGACCTCGCCCTCGCCATCACTACGGCCGCAGCGGCAGAGAACGCAGACATGGCACCGTCAGGAACACAGGTATAAAAGCAGCGGGAGCAGGAACTGACAGCAAACCCACAAATGCCGAAGTAGTCGCTGTCATAATAATATCCTCACCCTTACCACCACTACACCACTAACACCACCAAGACCGACGCCAGGATAGCAGCATCGGCAGCAGCAGCATTATCATAATCAGCAGCAGCACTGCAACAAACACTAATACGGAAGGCTGACTCGACCTTATGGAAACACTGTTATAACCAGCATAATGTACGGCTGTACGCTGCATTTTCTCCGTGCCTGATTGTGTTCCAGTCGTATGTAACGAGACGGAGCAATACCCAAACATTGTCACTTTCCTTTCACAGAGATGGAAGTGTCCTCGTAAGAGTAACTTAACCTCTGCTTGAAGGAAACCTTTGAAGCTGCCGCAGTTACATAAGCAGTAGTGTAATCCTTGACGCTATCCCAGTTTCAGGTCTCTAAGGCCAGACTATAACGTTTCATTACCCATGTGTGTAACCAATCCTGTGTGATGGAATATGAAAGGGGAAACATAGCTATCTTTTGCTCCAACAATGCAGTTATCATATATAATAGTGTAGCGTTAATTTTAAGGACCCTTCAGCTGTATGTAAGGTGGCGTGCTAACAACACTTCATATATTATCCAGAGCTTCACGAAAAATATATATGCACTCTTTTCCTTTGTGTCTGCCATAAAGAATAAAAGTTACAATGCCGTGGCTGCAGCAACCCACAAACAACGCATACTTGGCAGAGGGAACGAACGAAACGTCGTTTAACGTTTCCTCTCCGAAAATCTACGTTACTTATTATTTCTCACAGTTTCGTTATTGTTGTTAGCGTGGTGTAATGAAACGTAACAGTTAAACGTCACTCATAAGAGTTGTGAGATGAAAGAAAAAAACTATACAATGTCATCTCTGCATTTTCACGTCTGTTATCAACGCCATGTGTAAATATTTTTAGTGATCACACTATACACATCATGATGCAGCGCAGACACAGGACGACGAGGAATTGTGATCATGGTAGTAGACTACAGAAATTAGATGAAAAGACTGTTAGAAGGCAGGGGAAACGCTTGAACTTTTCTCCAAGCAAAACAGCATATTGCATTTTAGTCACATACCTGTGAAGAGGGGAACATGTGAGAGGTATTGACTAGTGTCTTCGGCTAACTGCCTTCCCCCCGACACTACAGGCATAACACACAACCAGCTCCGGAAGTGTTGCAAGAAAGATATTGGTGGCCACAATACTCGACCAATGATTTCCACCGAGTGTTTATATGTTGAAGTGGTGCTGACGCTGATGGGAGATGGGAAGGATGTAGGTGGTTATGGGAGATGAGGGATGGCGGGGGGGATGGGGCGATGATACCTGGAGTATGGTGATAAGAGATGGATATGGTGGTGAGGGGCGATATATAGAGGGGGGGCGATTGGAAGTGCCGATGGTGATTGGAAGTGCCGATGGTGATTGAAAGTGCCATTGGTGACTGGAAGTGCTGGTGGTGATTGAAAGTGCCAGTGGTGACTGGAAGTGCCAGTGAGGAGTGGCAGTTGTTGGGGTAAATGGTGGTTCATAGTGATAATGAAAAGTTGAAAGAAGGTGGTCTTACTGGTGGTGAGAAGTGGGTGTAAAGGTATTGTTGGGGTGGTGATAGGGTTGTGGTGGTGATGGGGTTAGTTGTGGGGATGAGGTAGTAGTAAGAAGTTGTGGTGTGGCCGGTGGTGGTGGTAAGAGAGTAAACTCCGGTAAAGCTTCCAAGAAATAGATAATGATGTTTATCCTGTGTTGGTATTTACCGCCTGGCGCAAACACCACATTGGCTAATGGGATCTGCGTGGGTTGTGGCGAAAGTCTGTCAAGGACCACCACACGTCGTGTGTCACGTACGCTAGTACACCCCCAGGTTACCATACAAGACTTACATGCACCCATACTGTGCCATTTACTTTAGATTATAAACTGAATACCAACGATCGTCAACGCCTTCTGTGATGTTTAACTTTTTTTTTTTTAAATAACTTCATTTTTAATTATAATAAAGAAATAACTTCGTTTTTAATTATATTAAAGAAAATATAACTATACATGTCGTATTACATAAATCGCCGTATTTTACTACTCAACTATAGAGTTAAGATATATAAAAGTAAGGGAGGGTTGAGCACTACCTTCTTCCTCCCCAGGGAGTCAAAAAAAAAAAAATGCCACAGGATATATATACGGTGAGGTGTAGTTCTCTCAGGGTACATGTGTTCAAAGTTTACTTTAATCCCTGTTTCAGGGATTTAAGGCATTCTTGTCCAGCTTTAACAAGCTACGCGCAGCCTAAATGACCCTAGTGTACTCGATAGCCCTTAAACCCCATCAATCAACCTACCAGAAATCGACCCTTTAAATGATAGCCAGACCACGTTCACCTCTGGAGACGAATATGCCTAATTCTGTATTTGCAAACTGGGTCACTATTTCTTGCCGCCACAGATCGCAGTCAGGCCTACCTGTTGTTTCCAGTCTCTTACCTGTGGTTTCCAGTCTCCTACTTGTTGTTTCCAGTCTCCTACCTGTTGTTTCCAGTCTCCTACCTGTTGTTTCCAGTCTCCTACCTGTTGTTTCCAGTCTCCTACCTATTGTTTCCAGTCACATACCTATTGTTTCCAGTCTCCTACCTACTGTTTCCAGTCATCTATTACCCTACTTTGTTTCCAGTCTCCTACCTGTTGTTTCCAGTCTCCTACCTGTTGTTTCCAGTCTCCTACCTGTTGTTTCCAGTCTCCTACCTGTTGTTTCCAGTCTCCTACCTGTTGTTTCCAGTCACATACCTATTGTTTCCAGTCTCCTACCTATTGTTTCCAGTCTCCTACCTATTGTTTCCAGTCTCCTACCTGTTGTTTCCAGTCTCCTACCTGTTGTTTCCAGTCTCCTACCTGTTGTTTCCAGTCTCCTACCTGTTGTTTCCAGTCTCCTACCTGTTGTTTCCAGTCTCCTACCTGTTGTTTCCAGTCTCATACCTGTTGTTTCCAGTCTCCTACCTGTTGTTTCCAGTTCTCCTACCTATTGTTTCCAGTCTCCTACTGTTGTTTCCAGTCTCTACCTGTTGTTTCCAGTCTCCTACCTGTTGTTTCCAGTCTCCTACCTATTGTTTCCAGTCTCCTACCTTTGTTTCCAGTCTCATATCTGTTGTTTCCAGTCTCCTACCTACTGTTTCCAGTCTCATACCTATTGTTTCCAGTCTCCTACCTATTGTTTCCAGTCTCCTACCTATTGTTTCCAGTCTCCTACCTGTTGTTTCCAGTCTCCTAC